GGGGGGGGGGGGGGGTGAAAGTTGGAGCTTTGTGGTTATAACCCCTTTCTACCTAGCCTTCCACTAGGTTGGCATAAAGTTGTATTGTACTTTAAAATGCAATATCATATGAGTTTGTCTCATATTAAGAAATTCCATTCATTGTCTTTAAGTAGCTCCCCGAGGTATTAAAGGTATATAGGTTATTTGCTTTTTGTGTTAGTTGAGTTTTTTTTGTGTGGGGGCGGGGGTGGTATTGCTTGTGTTTGCTTTGTTTTGTTTTGTTTTTGAGGCAGGGTTTTATTATGTAGCCCTGGCTAGCCTGGAACTAGCAATTGGTTGTTTTTGTTGTTGTTGTTTAAATTTTTTCTTTATTGTTGTATGGAATCGGTGAGAGGTCATACATGCTATGGTGATGTAGAGGTCAGGACAACTTTCAGAAGTCAGCTCTCTCCTACCATGGGTTATGGGGATGAAACTTAGGTCATCAGGCTTATTCAGCAAGTGCTCTTACCCATTGAGCTATCTCAATGGGCCCATTTGTTGTTTTGAAACATGGTCTCACTATGCTGCCCAGGCTATCCTGAAGTGCATGATCCTCTTGCTTCTGCATCCCGAGTGCTGGGAAATCACTGCTTCACAGTGTAAATAGAGTTTTAGATTACAAGATCTACCCTGAGAAACACTTCACTTCATGAAGTGGGGTATTAAGATATGGATCACAGCCAAGTATAGTGACATGTGCCTTTATTCCCAGAACTCGGGAGGCAGAGACAAGCAGATCTCTATGAGACTGAGGCAGGCCTGGTCTACATAGTGAGTTCCAGATCTCAACCCCTCCCACCCCCCCCACCCCCAAATACCTAAAATCTGGATCATATGTGTGAACTTAAATTTTTTTTTATTATATTTATTTATTTTGTGTATGTGGGTGAGTGTGTGCCATGGTGAGTTTGTGTAGGTCAGAGGTCAGCTTGTAGGACTCTGTTCTGTCCTTCCACAATGTGTGTCCCAGGGAAAGAACTTGGGTCTTCAGGCTTGATTGCAAGCACTTTTACCCACTTAGCCATCTCACTGACCCTGAACTTAAAAATTTTTAGTAGCTTCCTAATGAACATAAAACCTCGCCATCCCTGAACCAATCATTTTAAAGCTAACTCTTTCACGTAAAATAAAGCTTTTTTTTTTTTTAATTACAGTGACACCTCACACTCAGTGCCGCTTGAAATTACTGAAGTTAGAAAGAATTAAAGACTACCTTCTCATGGAGGAAGAATTCATTAGAAATCAGGAACAGATGAAACCATTAGAAGAAAAACAAGAGGTGAGTGAAGAAGTTACTATAATTTTCTTTACAAAATGGCTTCTATGAATCTAGAACTGTCAGCAAATAAATGAGGTTTGAAGCCCAGCGTGGTGGTGCATGCCTTTAATCCCAGCACTTGAGGGGCAGAGGTAAGCCAATCTCTGTGAGTTCAAGGCCAGCTGGGGCTACAGGGATAAAAAAAAAAAAAAAAAAAAAAAAAAAAAAAAAAAAAAGAGATAACGGGTAACTGACTACACAGCTTCTTACAGGCTAACTTTAAAAGCATTAGTTGCTTTCTGCCAGGGAGATGGCTTAGCAGTAGATGCTCCATGCAGGCCTGACATCCTGAGTTACCCATGTGAAAAGGTAAGAAGCTGAATGAGGTGGTGTACATCTACATCCCAGTTCCACTATGGCAAGATGGGAGGCAGAGACAGGAACCACCTGAATACTCTCAGGTAGACAGGAGTACGCAGCATAGCAGGTTGTCCTCTGGCCTCCACAGGAGTACACCTACTCTGAGATACACACACAAAATAAATGAAGAATAAATAGACAATGAAGGTCTAGCATGCTTTTCTTTCTTGGTATATTATTTAGGAGGAAAGATCAAAAGTGGATGATCTCAGGGGAACGCCAATGTCAGTAGGAACCTTGGAAGAGATCATTGATGATAACCACGCCATTGTGTCCACATCTGTGGGCTCAGAACACTATGTCAGCATCCTTTCATTTGTGGACAAGGATTTGCTGGAACCTGGCTGTTCAGTCCTGCTCAACCATAAGGTGAGTTGCTGATCTTTAAGGAAGCCCTTACGAGTATTTTCCTCTTAGATTTGACCACTTGTCCTGGAAATAGAACACCAAAGTATTCATGGGACTGTGGAGAAAGATACTGTAATTGGCCCTGTATTGTTATAAACAGATTGAGGAAACCTCGTGGTCTTGTGTTAAAGCTTAGTGTTCCTTTTTAGGTGCATGCTGTGATAGGGGTGCTGATGGATGACACAGATCCCCTGGTCACAGTGATGAAGGTGGAAAAGGCCCCCCAGGAGACCTATGCAGACATTGGAGGACTGGATAACCAAATCCAGGAAATTAAGGTGTGGCTGGGAACCAGCATTGGATTTTTAGATTTTGGATTTCTTACAGCTTTCCCATTCAGAGTTCTTTGGGATTGTTTTTGCATGTTTGTTTTTCTTTACTGATCAGTTCCAGTTGTGTATTGTTATGTGTTTATTACTGAGGTAGGTACTAGAAATCATTGTAAATTACGTGGTAGTCCTATAGCATCTTAATACTTTTTTTGTATGAAAACATGGCATGTTTCACAAGTTGTGCTGACTTGTGCTGTTTTGTATGGAGATGCCTTTGTACTTGCACGTGCCCACACAGTGGTGGGCCTAGAACACAGGCCCCATGCCTGCAGTGGTCCTTGGGGTTAGGGGGATGGCTATGGACCAGCTCTCTGCTTGCTCTTTCACTCATTCAAAGGTATCACTGATCTCCACTGTTGACCTCTCAGACAAATGGTAACTAGGGTCATTGTGGAATATCCTTAGATGGGAACGGCCATTGGGAAATCTTTTCTGGTCCTATCTGTAGTTTGGTTAAAAAGGATGAATTTTAACTTTCTTTAGTCACTTTTGTTCCCATAATAGCTTAAATGTTGCTCGGGACTGACTTCTAATGGTAAATAAAAGGATAATTGGGCATGGTTTAGAAAGGGGAGACTGCTAGGAATGCAGATGAGACACATGTCCACTTTAGCGTACCCCTGCTGCTAGTGGAAGTCAAGTGCATTTTCTCAGAAGAGTGAAGTTTTTCAGTTATTTTTGTGAAAAACAAGCTATGTTCATGATGTCAAATAATGCTAATGACCTCAGAAAGACTTTGATTTTTACTGAGTGTTTCTTCTCTTCAGGAATCTGTGGAACTTCCTCTTACCCATCCTGAATATTACGAAGAGATGGGGATAAAGCCCCCGAAGGGGGTCATTCTTTATGGTCCACCAGGCACAGGTATGCTGTGTTTGACACTGTAGGCACTCAGCTCTTATCTCATGCAGCAGCATTGGCCAGTTATAATTAGTAAGCTATCTGGTGATGACACCACAATTCTTTAACTTAAATCAGGTACTCAGAAGCTTGGGGGTATAAGAAACTGCTAAGCACACACAGATTCCTGGGTTCAGTCCAGCAAAGTAGCCCCCCACAAACATACACCCCACAAAACAAGCATACACAAAAAACAGGTTCTCAACCTTGGTTGTTCATGTGTGTTGAAATTGCCGTGGGAGTTCTGAAAAATGCTCATGCTGGGCCCAGCCACAGAGACCTGCATATATTCATCTAGAACATGGCCAAGCCTCAGAATCATGGTGGAAAGTAGTTTTCAAAGCTGAAAGGTGTTCAGTTCAGGTTCATTTACTGGCCTATTGGTACTAAATAAATATTTGTTGGATAAATAATTATAAAAATGTATAGACATTTAATTCATTACACAATTAGTTGCCCTAAGTTGTAGAGACCAATCTTAGCAGTTTATTGCCCTGTAATTAAAACAAGTGATCAAGACTATTAAACTTGTGTTGCTGACTGACTAGTGTTGAGGGCTACCCAGGGACTGGGAAGCACCTTTCCCCTGAAGCCAGGAACTAGGAAAAACCACTCTACAGCAGCCCTTCCTCTTCCAGCTCAGGAAATTAACAATCCAAAGAGACTGGCATGAGCCAGGACTATGGTAGCTCTGGGCATTGAACTGGTAACAGGATTGGATGTAGAACACTGATCTGACCCACGGGCATGGGTCTCCTGTGGGATATGGACACTGCAAGGCTGGGGTGTGGTGCTGGGTGGGCAGGCCTTTCAGAGGAACAGGAGGCTTGTTCAGTGATCTCTGTGGCCCCTGAAGTAACCCAAGCTCTTCTTGGCTGCTTTTGGACCATAAGACCCCATCTACTTAAAAGGTCCTATTCTGCCTTTTCACCATCATGATTGATGTTCTGAGGCGTCATCTAGCCTCCCAAGCCTTTTCACCTTCCACTCTTCCTAGGACTAAAAGGACTTCATTGTCACATGTTGCCACAAAACTTGGCTCTGTCTTTCCCATTCTGGTCTTCTTTGTCACTCCCCAGCTGGCCTGAGGAGACCAGTTCTGTCTCAGCCTCCTCTTAGTCCTGAGCCAACACCCAGCCCTTCTCACTCACCATCAAAGGGGCCCAAGTCTTTTTCTAAAATTACTTAAGGTGAGTGTTCTTTGATGGTGCTTATTTTACCTGAAAGAAAAATACCAGGGACTTGAGCAGCAGTGGAAACAGAGTTTGAGATCTGAGATCTGTGAAAGCTGCCACCTCCCCTTGGGAAGGGCACACCATAGACTGAGAATTCTTCTGAGCTTCCACAGCTCTTTTCTGTGGGTGCTGTCATCAGTTGGTCTTGGTTCCAGTGTTCTGGCCACCCCACAGGCCCATCCAGCAACTACTGTGCTAGTAGTGGGGCCCTGTGGCCTGTGCTTGGGGCTGTGTTGTATATCTCTTGAGGGTCAGGTCTAAGATTGCCAGACAATGTTTTTTTTAATCATTGATGGTTCCATGGGAGTTTATTTTGTTTTCTAGGCCTGGGCTGGATGGGTGTTCTAGTTTGCTTTTCTGTTACTATTAGAAACAATATGACCAAAAGCAACTTGGGAAGAGAGGGTTTTATTTCATCTTACAGGTTACAGTCCATCACTGAGGGAAGCTAAGGCAGAAAGTTGAAGCAGAAATCATGGGTGAACCCTGCTTACTCACATGCTCTGCTCCCTTTCTTTTTTTTCCTTTTTCTTTTTTTTTTTTTAATATTATTTTTATGTGTATGTGTGTATTGCCTGCATGTAGGTTAAGTGCACCCATGTCGTGCAGTGCCCGAGGACAGAAGAGGCTGTCAGATCCCCTGGAACTGGAGTTACGGACAGTTGTTAGCTGCCATGTGGGTGCTTGGATTCAAACCCGGGTCTTCTGCAAGAACAGCCAGTGTTTTTAACCGCTGAACCATCTCTCCAGCCCCTCAGCTACCTTTCTCATATAGCCCAGGCCCACCTGCCCAGAGATGGCACTGCCCACACTGCCCTCTTGTGTCAGTTAGCAACTAAGAAAATGAACCACAGACATGGCCACAGGCCAACCTGATCTGGGAAATTGTTTAGTTAGGTTTCCTCTTCCCAGGTGACTCTAGATTTGTGTGAGATTGACATCTGAACCTACCTGTGACATTGGGTCAAGTTAATTATTCATTTGTTCATTTATTTATTTTGACGTAGGGTCTCATGTAGCCCAGGCTGGCTTGTAGCTGAAGATGACATTGACCTTCTAATGCTTCTGCTTCCATCTCCCAAAAAATGGGATTATAGGCATATGCTACCATTCCTAGCTAGATCAGGTTAATTTTATGTGCAGTTTGAGATGGGCCCAAGAAAGGCTCCATTTGAGAAAAAGCAGGTATCTTTTTTAAAAATTTTTTATTGCTACTATAGAACAGTTCTGTAGATAATTATAGTAATTCTTTTGTAGATACTTTGGGCTTAAGCAGGTAGGGCGAGATGGCTCAGCGGGTGAAGGCACTTGCTGCTCAAGCCTGGCAACCTCAGTTTTTCCTCGGAACCCATGTAAAGGTGGAAGAACAGAAGTGACTCCACAGAGTTGTCCTCTGACCTCCACAAGTACTCCATGGTACACGCGTGTGTATGTGTATACACACACACAAATAGTAAAATCTTTTAAGCAAGTAGAAGGTATTTTCTGACATGATGGCTATAGGAAAAGAGTTCAAAGTCATCAAAATAGTTGTTAGACTAAAAGGACAGAATAGGAACACACCTGGTGGTAGTGTGTTCTCACTGTTGGTGTCTGTCCTTCTAAGGTGGGAGTGTTTCTAAAAATAGTACTTGACTTCTGGTTTTTTTCCTTTGTCTATTTAAAATAGGTAAAACCTTGTTGGCCAAAGCAGTAGCAAACCAAACTTCAGCTACTTTCTTGAGAGTGGTTGGCTCAGAGCTTATTCAGAAGTACCTAGGTGACGGGCCCAAACTTGTCCGAGAATTGTTTCGCGTTGCTGAAGAACATGCACCCTCCATCGTGTTTATTGATGAAATTGATGCCATTGGAACCAAAAGGTAGATTTGCCCTTAACTGTTTTGTGTTAGTCAGAAGCAAAGCCACAGAGCTCTTATGTGAGAATGAACAGTCTTGGGCTCTGTTCTCCTAGGGGACTCAACACCTACCCAGGAGCTGGGAATATTTGGAATTGGGCAATCATGAATAACCACATGATAGCACTCATGCTGAGCTAGTAACATCTGGACTTGGGGTCTCGGCTGTGATCCTGGCAGTCTCTACCCTCCAGAAGTTAATAGGTTGAGGCCATCAGACACCAGACAAAAAAATCTTAAGCTTTAGGCACAGAAGCTGCTGTAAAGATGTGTGATCTCTAACTTGTTGAGAAGTATCTTAGTCTTTTGTGCTGCTGCAAGCAGAATACCAGAGCTGGGTAATTTAGAAGGATAGAAGTTTGTTTCCCTCAGTTCTAGAGGCCATGAAGTTCCAGATCAGGATTATTGGCATCAATGTCTGGGGGTGGAGGGGAGTGCTCCTTTGTGCTTCTAGGAAGGTGCCTTTTGCTCAGTCCTTCAGCACAGGCTAATAGGCCCTCATAACATAACAACAGGGCAAAATGGGCCTAAGCCGTTTTATAAGGCATTCTTCACTTTCCAGCAGGTGCTCCCTCTTAATACTACCACCATAGGGATTGTTACATGTAAAGTTTTGGAGACACTTGCAGACCAAAGCATGAGGTACAAGTATTTTTTTGCTAAAGTAATAAAGGATTGAATGGCCTTTGGGTTGAGAAAAGAATATGGAAGAGTTCTATGCCAAGTTTTTGCTGAAAATCTGTTTACAGAACTATTGGGTCTTCATTTCTTCTTTTCCCAAAGATATGATTCAAACTCTGGAGGTGAGAGAGAAATTCAGCGAACAATGTTAGAACTGTTGAACCAGTTGGATGGATTTGACTCAAGAGGTGATGTGAAAGTTATTATGGCAACAAACCGAATAGAAACTTTGGATCCAGCACTTATCCGACCAGGTTAGGTTTACTTTTGTTCATCATGGAATATTAATGAGTTTGGGTATATTTGTTTGTTTTTTAAAATATTTTCTTTATTTTTATTTTATGTGTATGAGTGTATTACCTGCATGTAGGTAAGCGCACCCGTGTTGTGCAATGCCCGCGGAGGACAGAAGAGGCTGTCAGATCCCCTGGAACTGGAGTTACAGTTGTTAGCTGCCATGTGGGTGCTGGGTTTCAAACCTGGGTCTTAAGCAAGAACAACCAGTGTTCTTAACCACTGAGCCATCTCTCCAGCCCCATTTGTATCTTAAGTGTGCTTTGGGGAATATTATAAAGTGATGTACATAATGGCAAATGGTATTGTGAAACAACAAAAATGCGCCTCCTTGATTGGAGGGATACCTATCTGCTCAGTGAGTAAAGTGCTTGCTTTGCAAGCATGAGGACCCAAGTTCAAGTCCCAGAACACCCATAAATAAAGCTGGGTGTGATGGTGAACAGTTGTAATCCCAGTACTGGGAACATAGAGGCTGGCAGATCCCTGGGTCTTGCTGACCAGCCAGTCTAGCCTACTAGAGTTCCAGTCTAGTCAGAGACGCTAGTCTTAAAAAAAAACAAGGTGGTGGGCTGGAGAGATGGCTCAGAGGCTAAGAGCACTAGCTGCTCTCACAGAGGACCTGGGTTCCATTCCCAGCAGCCACATTGCAGCCAACAATTGTTCACAGCTCCAGTTCCAGGGGATCTGATACCCTCTTCTGGCCTCCATGAGCATTGCATACATATGATATGCTTACACACATGAAGGCAAAATACTTATACATATAAAATAAAAACAAAACAAAGTGATGGGCTCCTGAGGAATGACAGCTGACATTCTGACCTCAGCATGCACATGTACACACACACGAACATGTCTCCTTGAGGTCCTAGTTTAAGAGTGATACAGTGTGCAGATTGGCCTTTTGAATCCAGTTTTATACCATTATCTTTTTCCTTCTCATACTCAGCAGTCCTTTCTAAGTCTCAAAAATTCATTTCTTTACTCTGAAGAAATAACTCATAGGCTAATTTGGATTTATTCTTTATATGCAAGTAGCAATGGAAGCAGTAATTTTCTATCTTTTGTAATGTTTCTAAGAAGACAGAGGATTTAAGTGGGGAGATTCAGATGTAGGTATTTACAAAGTATAGAAATGAATGTTCACTTTTTAGGGTTTGGATGCCATTCCTCCAGAACTCCATCTGGCTAAAGCCAAGCCTGTGGGAGTGGGCTGAGGCGGGCAGAGCCTGGGTCTAGATGACAGTAACTGAAATCTTTGTATCTACAGGCCGCATTGACAGGAAGATTGAGTTCCCCCTGCCTGATGAAAAGACTAAGAAGCGGATCTTTCAAATTCACACAAGCAGGATGACTCTGGCCGATGATGTTACCTTGGACGACTTGATCATGGCAAAGGATGACCTCTCTGGAGCTGATATCAAGGTGAGTAACTGGTTGAATGGACTTGTCTCTGGAAAATTGACCCCCAATTAGGAAACACTGCAAACTTGGGATGGCAGTTGAGCTAGGTGGGTGGATGCCTAGGTTTTATTGTCATAAGCACTGTTGGTTTCACATTACATCCAATGGTAGATTTGCTTTTTAATTCATTAAATGCATTACTCTGTGAAGTAAATGACCACAGATCCATTTAGCCACAGGACGGGTCCCAACACTAAAGTTAGTTGCCTCCTCTGCAGGGTCTGGGTGACTTGTTCAGGGGTGTCATATTTAGCCATTCAGTTCTTGGTCAGAGAAAAGTGTCTGCTGGGAGATATACCTCAGAGCTGCAGAGAGAGCCACAGCATTCTTGTTGCCTCATGTTGGTGTTGATGGACTGTTCTTACTTGTACCTCTTGGCTGTATCACAAATGTGTGCAAGTTAAGATGTTTTCTCCTGGCTGCCCAGTCTTTATAGCAGGCCTGACAGCAACGTATATGGGTAGAGGCTCCTTTCCTTTTAAGGAGCTGGGTCTTCCTCAGCACAGGTGCCTTGGTTGTTTAGTAGGAGCGGCACACAGCGATTTCCAGGCCGGCACCTGCACTGATCCTCCGTGTCATTGGCATCAGTTCTAGTTCCTTCTTTTTTTCTTTTTTTTGAGATGGTCTCCCTGTAGCCCCAGCTGGCCTGGAACTCAACAGAGATCTGTGTGCCTCTGCCTCTGCATAGGATTAAAGGCATGTGCCACCACCCAGGCTTAATTTTTCTTTTTATATTGAAATTACTTTTTAATTGGACACTTTTTTTTGAGACAGAGTCTCACTATGTAAACCAGGCTGGCCTCAAACTTTTAAAGAGTTTGTCTTGCCTCTGCCCCCCCAAGGGCTGGGGTTAAAAAGTGTGTGCCACCACACCAGGCATAATACTCCCTTTAATGAAAGTGAAGCTTTCTGAACTTGCTGAACCTGCCAAGCCACACAGCTTGGTAGAATCCTGGATTCCTGGACCAGTCCACTTCCTGAAGTCTTTCCAGTTGATGCTATTTCAGATTGTTTCAGAAATTAAGATGCATAGAACATTTAATCTATTCCCAAATGAGCAATGTGTGTTTAGTCTATCTTACACTTTATTTCAAAATCTCTCTCTCTGAATTGCTTAAGATAAAAATAGATATTTCTGTTTCTGAACATAATGCTCTTTCTTCTAGGCGATCTGTACAGAAGCTGGCTTGATGGCCTTGCGAGAGCGCAGAATGAAAGTAACAAATGAAGACTTCAAAAAGTCTAAAGAGAATGTTCTTTATAAAAAACAGGAAGGCACCCCTGAGGGGCTCTATCTCTAGTGACCCATAGTTGCCTTCAGAAAAGTGATTGCGGGTTCTCCTCCACCTGAGAGGGTAGGAGGAAGATGAGAAGTTACCCTGAGGAATCCATTTTCCAGTTGATTTTTACTAGCAGAGACTCTGTCTTATGTGAGGTGCAAGGTACAGGTCGGCAGTCTCTATCTGTTGGTCATTGTGTGTGCTGCTCTCTGCTTCCCAATAAAGTAAACACTTTGACAACTGGTCTGTGGCTGCATACCTGCACCTCCCTGCAGCAAATGGAGAATCCTGCCCTAGGGGAGCTTCTAGGCAATCACAAGGGGCCTGACTCATGGTGTCCAAAGCTGGTGCCTGGTAGTGAGGGAGAGGGGTACATGTAGCTAGAGACAGTGGTCTTTATTGTTTGAATAAAGGCCGAGCTAATGTGGCTGTTGGTTTCAGAGGAGACTGTTTGCTCTGTGAACCCTACAAGGGCTCCACACTAGGAAAGACACATTGCTGTTCCCAAGAGACAGGATCCCCAAAAGAACCATGCCTGCTTTTGTTCTGCGTTCAAACCCTCGGCTCATTTATATTTCTTTCACTTTTCTTTCTCAACAAATGGTTCTTTAAAGCTATTAGGAGGTGAGTGAAGATCACTGTGCACGTGGCAGGGCCTTACTGGAGGAAGCCTATTTGTTTTCTGTTACCATCATAGCGCTTAATTAGCTTAAAACTACAAATATTTCAGTACCATTGGTCAACTCAGAGCCCACCTCAGGAAGCTAAAATCACATCCTGTCTAGAAGCTCAAAAAGAAAACCAATTTCCTTGAGGTTGGGGTTGGCAGAATTCAGCTACTTGGAGTGTAGGACCAAGGTCAGCACTTCCTTGCTGGTTGTCAGCCAAAGGCCTTTCCCAGTTTGTAGAGGCCACGCTTATTTCTGGACTCCAGTCCCTCCATTGTCAAAGTCAGAGCTTCTGCCCTCCCATGTCTGGCGCGCGCTCTCGCTCTCGCTCGCTCTCTCTCTCTCTCTCTCTCTCTCTCTCTCTCCTCTCTCTGTCCCCCTCCCTCCCTCTCCTTTCTCTGTCTCTCTTTCTCTTGCCTTGTGACTACTTCGTGGGCCCTTCTAGATAATTCAGGATAACCTTGTTTTGCTTGGGTTTGTGACAGGGGCTCCATTTGTAGCCCAGGCTAACCCTGAACTTGCTATATAGGCCAGGCTGACATTAAATTCTCAGTGCTGTTGAGGGAAACCTAGCTGCATCCTGGCTTCTGACTCCACACCCCTAGTGGCGTCTATAAGGTATCTGGCCTGATGCTGACCCCAAAGAGGGTAAGGAGGAGGGAAGGGATGAAGGTCCTTCAGGGGCAGCCAGGACCTGGGAGAGGCCAGTTCCAGCCACTGCTTACAGTTGAGCTTTCAGAGGTCAAGTGTACTTCATAGTAGGATCCAGCTTGGACTAGAGAGGGCAGCAACTGGGATAGGCCAGCCAACAACCTTCAGTGTCCTGAGACTCCACCCTAGGAAGCTGTTGCTTATGTTACCTTTTTCTACACCATGTCATTAGATTGTGGCCAAAATTACTTTCATTCCGTAACTGGCTTTTTGGAAATATGACAGACAAGTCCAGCAATTCTACAGATGCCAAGTGTGGTGGCACACACCTATAATCTCAGAACCAGAGGCAGGAGGATGAGGAATTCAAGGCCAGCCTGAGCTACAGGAGTCTTTTCAAAATGAAAAACAAAAGCCAGAAAGAAGCTATCCGTTCTCAGCAGGCGTCAAGGTAAGATAGTTCCTCCTAGCCAAGGTAAGAGAGGAACTGCGTGTATTCATCTTACGACTTTATAATGAGGTCTCAAGGTTAAGGATCCTGCCCTGGGTCCAGTGTCAGAGACCCACTAAGACCAAGGACACCACCGAGGGCTACAAGCTGAGTGAGAGACAGGGCCATTGCTGGCTGCATGGAGGTTGAGCAGAGGAAACAAGCTGCACACATTTCAAACAAAAATGTTTATCACTAGCATGATTATTCATCTGTACACATGTACATATAGTCACATATATGATATGTAAAACAATGCATCTAAAACCTGTGCCAGATAGGTGGGGCTCACCACCCAGACACAAATAATGGAAAATGATCTCATGAGCCGTGGCTCCCCCTGATCCTGCTCTGCTCCTCAGACTGGTGCAGCCCCACCACACACTAGTCCTCCAGCAGGAGCTCCAGCTCCTCCAGGGGCAGGCGCACCCGGAGCTCCTTCTCAGTCATCAGATCCAGGATCTCCTGCAGCTCATCCGGGAAGTACTCCATGGCATCCATGTACAGCACCTAGCAGCAGAGTAAGACCAACACTTCTGGTAAGAGTAGAAGAGCCCCAAGAAAACAGCAGGCCCAGCGAGCTCTCCATCACTGTCTTCTCAGACAGCTCAGCAATGTCCAGGAATAACCAAGCCCACAGAAACAGCAAAAGGCAGTAAATATGAAAGGAGGCCCTTTCCCTCTATGTGGCCATGTATTAGAAGTCACCCTATTTGGTTTCAAATAACTGGATGTGGGTGGGACACAGATCCTGACCCTCCTGGCACCTGGGCTGAACTGTAGGGGGACGCTGGAAAAGCAGACCACCCTATGAAGCACCAGCTCCAGTGTGGGAAAAGAACCACAAGGCTTGGCTACAGGAATGGTGTCACTAGGAAAAGGCCTTGGAATATGGTACTGCCACCCCTAAAGCCAAACACCCTTCATGTTACTGGCTGGACAGGGCCTGGCAGGAAGGCCCTTGGTAATCTGAAGATACTGTGATAATTTAAAATTTACTTTTGGGGGCTGGAGAGACGGCTAAGTGGTTAAGAGCACTGGCTGCTCTTGGAGAGGACCCAGGTTCAGTTCCCAGCACCCACATGACAGCTAACAGCTATCCAAAACCCCAGGGGATCTGATGCCCTCTTCTGACCTCCACAGGCATTGAATGACACAGGTGCAGGCAATATACTCACACATAAAAAAAATTTTTTTTAATTTTTTTAAACTTACCTTTGCCCAAGGGCAGTTCTGAAGTGCCTTGTAAAATACACCTTTGCTTCTTTCTTTGTTTCCTAAGGAAACCTGAGGTAAGGGGAAGACATACTAAATGATCAACTGAAGCTAAGACTACACCAACATGTCTCTAAGATCTATACCTGGATCTCAGCTACTGGGGGCTGGTACCATCACGGCAGCCAGTGGACCCAGGTGCCAGAGAATGCTGTCAGGCCACAGCTGTGCCAGGTCATTTGACACTGTTAGCTTTTGAAGCCCTCCTTTAATGAGAGCCACCATGACTTGCTGTTAGTAACAGTGCTTAGAACAAGATGTATCCATGAGATGAGACTGATAACCTTGTACAAACAAAATATTTGCCATTTTGTGAAAATTACCTTCTAGAGAACCAAGTAATCAGGACACTTCGGATGCTAGTTATTTCATTCTGTGAAAGACAGCTTTACGAGGCAGCAATGGTGGTACCTTCATCAACGCTGGAGGCTGAGGTGGAACAATCACAAATTCTAGGCCAGCCTGGGGCTATACAGTGAGCTTCTGTCTCAAATAAGCCAATGAATATGTATGTAAAAGCAACCTGTGCTGGAGATAAGGCTCAGTGGTTAAGAGCTCTGACTTAACCAGATCCCAGCACCCACATGGCAGCTAATAATCACCCATAGCTCCAGTTTCAGGGAATCCAACACCCTCTTCCAGCCTCCATGGGCATCGCACACACAGGTGCACTTACATACATATAGGCAGAACACTTACATAAAACACAGCTTTGCCTATGACTTAATAAAATTGAGTCTAGAGGTTTCTCAACAGAAGAGGTTTGGACTGCCCTCACAGCTAGGAGGTAGCTGCCCTCTGCCTGGCACACATAGCTGTGAGGGCAGTCCACACCTCTTCTGTTGGGAATGTCCTAGTGGACATCAGCTCTGCCCAGCAAAACAGCCAGTATCCATAGATGGGTGAGAAAAGGTTGACCTCCCAGAAACTCAATTTTGGCATCTAGAGGTCTAATTAGCTGTTCGAGACTCCACCAAGGATGGCCTTCAGACCTCTATTTTTCAAGTTTCACTCCAAGTCACAGGGACTAGCTTGAGCCATAACCAGCATCAGTGAGAATCCCATTGGGCAAGGTTCAATCTCCCTAGTCTGTCCAAGAGCCTGGCGTATGGCTTGAGAATCCACACAACAAGTGTCTGCACTCTCCACTTGGAGAAGCTGACCAGCATTTAATAATCACTTGCTTTGAGAAACTGCCAGACAGGAGATACCTTCCTTTGAGGTATTGGCCAGGGTGGCCCAAGAGACTCCCAGACAGTAACTCAGCATAGAAATGGGAAATGAACAGCAGACCCCAATCTTATCTAAAGGAATGTTGACAACTGGCTGCTGCTAGATGAGGAAGAGCTGATCTTCCTAAAACAAGGAACTCTAGACTGACTAGATTCAGCGGATGGACTAGTACTGGGTAATGGCTGGGGGCACTCATAACACAGTGAACAGTAACAGGGATGACAGTATATGGGCTCCAGTGGGGGGGTGGGGGTGAGACTGTGGGAGGGTGCCATTTGGGATGGGCATAGAGATGAATGAGATTGGGATGTTCTGTTTGAAATACACACACAATCAATTAAAAAACCACTTGCTTTGGCATCTTTGTGCCTTCCCAGCTATGTGTCACCTCCCTATGGGGGAAGCAATGTCTCTAAGAAAAGGAAAGGATGAAGCCTTCAGGCTTTTGCAAAATATGATTCTTTTCTTATCCCATTACAAACACATCTGAGCAACTGTTAACTTGTACCATTTTTTTAAGCAATTTGCAAAAACAAAAAATGACAAAACTGACTCCACATTTCCTGTGTGACTTCTTGAGGTGAGGCAGACTCACGAGGGGTTCATTCCTTCCTGTGAGGAGGGCAGCTGAAAAAGTCTTTCTCCTCCCACCAGCCCTTTGTTATGGAAAGCCTTTCAAAATGCCCATCTGTTAGCAGCCAACAGATGGGACTAGAAGCTACAATGGGCAGTAAGAGAAAACCTAGGAAGTAATGACCTATCACCACTCCCAGAAAGGGCTGACTGGCTAATCTACTTAAATGTTCTTCACAGTGTAGGTCCATTACCAAAGAATCTGCAACTTTCACCTAAACACCACTGCTAGTCTGGCTGGACTCATGATAATGTACACACTAAACAGGAATGCCTCCTCTCAAACCAAGAATCTAACTGCTGCTTGTCTGGTTCCTTTTCTCTCCATTTGTAGGCAACACTGTTTTAATATCCTCCATCATTCTTGCAAGGAAAAATGTAAATGGGCAATCACACTTGCAAAAGAGCAGTTCTGCACACTGTCCATAGAGGGCCTGGATACAAAAACAGCAAAACAAGCCACCCTCCCGCCAGACCTGGCCTTCCACAGCCCCCCACAGCTCTATCCTTCTTTCCGTCCCCTGGTATTCACTGCCTATGCCTTCCATTTGAGTCCTAATTTGTTTTTATCACTGTGTTTAATTTAAAAAGTTCGAGGAGTCCACTCAGATGCCTCAGGAACTCTAGGCAAAATCACTCCTCTAATTAATCCTTAGTTTCAACACTACCGTATCAAAAAGATACAAATCCCTTAAGGGCCCAGATCTTCTTTCCAAGTCAGTAGCAGATTTTTTTGCAAACAACCCACACAAACCTGGCTCACTGCAGAGTCTCAGTAAAATTACTGTAAATCTGTACCTTATACTGTATCTGAAAAACCTGGGAAGCCAGGCATGGTGGCACATGCCTTTAATCCCAGTACTCAAGGGGCAGTGGCAGGTGGATCTCTGTGAGTTGAAGGCCAGCCTGGTCTACATAGTTCCAGGCTAGCTGGGGCTACAGGAGACTGTCTCAAAAATACAAAAAAAATTTAAAAAAAAAAAAAAAAAACTGGGAAACAAAACTGGCAAAAACAAC